TACCACTTATTATATCAACCGTTGAAATTTTCAGTATTTTACACTTCAACATTTTCTATACACTTCTTACAGAAAAATAGGTTCAGTTCATCTGTGGGCGCTAACTGAAAAACAGGCACTTTATCTGATCTATGACTACTGAATGTTATATTGTAGTCTGTTATAACTGCTGCCAAAAGGCCACAGTGCTGTTTCAGTAGCGCTTTACCCTGCGTAACCTGCATGTTCTGCTGTAGCTGGAGCTGCGAGGGGTTTTGCTGGAGGAAGGTACGGGCGCCACCGCAGACCCCACGTTTCTCCTAGAGGTAATGGAGATCAACGAGAGACTCGCAGAGACGTGGAGCCAAGACGAGGTCAGCGCTATCGGGCGGTCTGTGCGAGGTGTGTAGGCCAGAAAGAAAAGCTCCAACCGGAAGTGATTGTTGAAATATTGCTCTGCGCCCACTCATGCCGCTCGCAGCTTATTTATGTGACCGTTTGTGGCCCTAGATTCATTCCATCAGAAAGTTCAAGGCCCTGTGGTTTTATGTTTTCGCTGCTAAGTCACTCTGGTTGTGCTGTTCATGTACTGTATTTTACTTCCTTTCAACAGAGAAACTGAAAGACTTGACTGAACGGATGAATTCATCCCTGAACAAAGGTATTTTTCTCTCTTTCTCCTCCTCACGACCTCCCAAATTTGACAGAAATTCAGCTCCAAAGCCGGTTGCATGCACATTTCCATGGCTTGCGAGTGGAAAATAGCTGTTTTTGTGTTTGCCTCACGAGTCTCTTTTCACAGGGGATCTGCTGACCGCCAAAGAGCTCCTGGCCCAAATGAAGTACTTCACAAATATAGAGGAGAAGGTAAAAGACAGAATTGCTGAGGGAAAATTGTAAACAATTTGCAATTGTAATCCAGCTCAGCAAAAGATTTCACGCTTGGCGTATATTTGTTGTATTATTGTTGTTTATCTCAATAAAGTACATTTATTTTAATCTTTTGTCAAAAGCAATGCTTTTTTTATTAGTGGATCTTGCCTATGCAAAACTCACCTCCGTGATGCTACAGTTTTGTCATTGGTTGCCATGGCATTGCTAGGGTGTTTTGGATCGTTTCTTACTAATTCAAAAGAGCCCACAGTATTATGGTCTGTTGATACTGTATGACTCTGTTCTATCCTGCAATGTAACTTTAAGGGATTTTTTTTGCATGTTTTAGCATGTTCAAGGCAAAAAGTGAGCTCTTTGATGAATAACAGTGCACCTTATCACAAAGATGCATGATTTGAGGTATCATTCATGTCTGTAGCAGTGCTACTTTAGTATTATTTAAACAGTATACTAATATAGTTTTTATTAATATTATGAATTTTGTTTTTAGATTTTCTGTTTTTGTTGTTTAATTTTTAGTATTTTTGTTTTGTCATGTTTTTGTCTTTTTTTGTGTACTTTGTGTAAGTTTGGTGATTGAGTTTAAACTTATTTCAGTTACCAAGTTAAATTATTTTGTTTAGTTAAATTTTTAATTATATTCATATTTTATTTTATTTCAGCATTTTCAATTAACAATTTTTTTTTTTATATTGTAAAGTTGTTTAGCTTAATTTTGTCATGTAATATTTATATTTCATTATTTCACTGCTATTTAGATTTATTTATTTCAGTTTTAGTTTATTTATTTCCAGTTAGTAATTTTGATGATTGAACTTAAACTTATTTTAGTTACTAAGGTAAACTTAAAACCACAGTTGCAGCAAACCTAAAAAACATTTTTTAGTTAATTATTTTTACTAGAACATTGATATTTTATTTTATTTCAGCTTTATTTCAATTAACAAAACTTTGTAAAGTTAAAATACTGTGAAATTCTGCTTTGTGCAATTTCGCTTTGTTTGGTGAAATTTTGCCATGTAATATTTATATTTCATTATTTAATTGCTATTTGGATTTAATTTATTTTTATTCCAGTTTTAGTTTTAGTTCAGTTTTAATTTATTTCCAGTTAGTAATTTAGATTATTCAACTTGTATCAAACTTATTTCAGTTACAAAGTTAAACTTAAAAGTACAGTTAAGTTCTGTTTAGTTTAATTTTTATGTATAATATTGATTTACCGATATTTTATTTCAGCTAAAATATATTATGTTTACAATGTTTAATACTGTAAAGTTTGGTTTAGTTTAACTATTTGCATCTAATAGGTTTTATTTAATTTAAGCTTTATTTCAATTAATAATTTTTTTAAAATATATTTTTAGTTAATGATAACCCTAGGCTGTTGCACAAATGGTGCTATTGTGCACTCAATTTTAATACTTTAATTTGAATAATTAATAAATGATTGGGTTAGAAGTTAGTTCAAATCCCAACCCTATGTTTGAGCAATAATATTTGTGTGATGCTTGCATTATCAAACGCTGCTAATAACACATGCAAACAATCTTTTAGATGCCGTTCCATAAAGTATGTGCGACTTTCCCAAGAGAATACTTCTGCATTCAGCGTCAAACTGTGATTGGCTGATGCCACGTTTATTTAGGTCTGGCCTATTGAGAGAACAGAGAAAACAGGAAACCCACAAAATGATGAAACTCTTATAAAACAAAACTGTCCAAGACAACAACATTCATTTAGCCCGGTCCCCGTTTGAATCTTTAATGCTACTACTCGACTCGCAATCTCTGTGGTGCGCTTTGTGATAAATGCGTCTTATTTCTCTCTAATGTGGGCTGATTCATGTCATGAATATGAAGGTTTTTTATGCATGTTTATGACAACTGTCATTAAGTGTCATTCGCTCAGTTATGTAATTTTTAATGCAAAGATGACATTGTTTGAGATGTCTTTGTTATGGGCTATGGTTAGGGGTAAGGGTAGGGGTAGGGTTAGGTTAGGGTTAGGTCAAATAATGTCATATTTGCATTAAAAATGACATAACTGAGCGAATGACACTTAATGACATTTGACATAAACATGCATAAAACCTCCTTCATATTCATGACATGTGTCATGTCATGATTATGAAGGTGTCATGTCAGTCTTATGCACACCCCTTCAAGTAAAGTGTTACCACAGTTTCTTTATTGCGCCAGTTTGTACAGTCGCTTATGGTGTGGTATGAATTCAATTACATCATAACACACTTAACAATCTCAGATTTATGAATGTGTGTGTTTGTGTGAAAGGCAGCGTCAGGGAGGGAGAATCAAAGTGTGTATGCTGGAGCTGAAAATGCCTTCGTTGAGCTGTAGGGGGAAGCATGTCACCTCACTATGGAGGCTGTAGCTGGGCAGAAAACCCTTTAACAGCTGTAAGTCGTGTTTATGAAATGCTTGTTCTCAAGTATGCACATTCCTTTTGCAATGAAGAACATAATTTGAGTAGATTTTGAGCATCATTGAGCAGTCTAATGATGCAGGCTGCGTCATACTCTGTGAGATAAAGTGTCTCTTTTCACAGCTTTTGCCGGCTCTGAGACACTTGAATGTTATTTCTCTGGCTCTTTTTCTAGCAAAAACCCACTCATCACTAAATGAAAACTTAAAGTGAAGACCTGATTATTTCAGGAGCCTTATCACAAGTCCATTGTTTTTGAATGTTGGTGCTACTTCTGCTAGATTTTCACACTTAAAACAATAATTTGGTTTTCCTCTTGTACCATTGTCCTCTTTTATGCTAAGAAATAAGTCACCTGGCAGTTCTTTCCCAAATGGTTCCACTGCTGTCTGAGTCTGAGTCTGAGTATGATTCAGTGGGCTATATAACACTTTTATTTGTCAGGAAATTACTTGTCTTTAAAAGTTTTGGTTCAACATATTTACCTGTTGATCAAAAATAGCCTTAAACCTATACACTTTTTTTTTTTTTTTTTAAGTAACTTTCAGGAGGGTGTACTCATTTTTGCAACACAACATTGTATAACTTTGATAAGAAAATCTTATTTTGCTGAATAATTTGGGCATTCTTCTTTGGTAATTGATCAAGCAGGCTTGTTGGAACATTACATCTCCAAAGAACCCTAACATGTCTTCTAAGTAAAGAGTAATTGCTGAATTTGTTAAGTTTTAGAGGGGGTGTACTCATTTATGCTGTGCACTGTACATAACTGATACCTCAAATTGTTGAGCTTGTTGAGAAGTCATTTTCTAATTGATTGTACTGTTAAACTTCACTTGCCAGATAACAAAATGGGTGAAGAATAAATCCCACAGATGTAAAGTTAAGATGGGCCCAACCCATGTCTACACTTTTAAAAAATGTTTGTAATTTTTACATAAAATGCTATAAAGATGCAAATAAGTTATCATATACAGTGAAAACTGTAAATGGTTTAACATTGCATTATGTGTAATTTTATGGTAAAATACTGTCAAATTTGTTTTTTTTTTCTAAAAATTTCTAATAATTTACAGTTTAAAAACAGTTAAAGGACATTCACAGAAGTCCCTATGACACAGCAGACATGATTATATTTCCATACGAAAAAGATTATAAAAATGCATCTAAGTTTCCTTACCATATAGTGAAAAACTGTAAATGGTTTAAAATCATATATGTAATTTTACAGTAAAATTTTATTTGTTTTGCAAGTAAAAACTATGAATTACTATAATTCCATATAATACCATATCATATATCCCATGTGACACATATTTATTTATTTATTTAAATTAACAAAAAAAAAATTAATACTGTAAAGCTTTGTTTGCTTAATTCTGTCATCTACTATTTATATTTTATTTTCAGATTTATATCAATTAACAACATTTTTTTTTAATACTGTAAAGCTTCGTTTGGTTTAATTCTGTCATCTACTATTTATATTTCATTTTCAGATTTATATCAATTAACACAAATGTTCTTAATAGTTTTAGTTTCATTAATGAAAATAACCCTGCATGGGCTGTTGCACAAATGTTGCTATTATGCTCTAAATTTTAATAGATAAAAATTGTAATCCTTTGTTGTGCACTAATATTTTAATACTTTGTCTTAAAAGTCAAGTGTTCAAATCTCAAAATATACAGGTTTCCATCCTGTAATGCTGGATCCATTGTCACCAGATTTTTATATATTTTTTTTTTACAATGAATTTCTGGAAAACACATGATTTATACTGTAAATTTAACAGAATATTTTTTTTACAGTGTAGAGACAAAAGCTCAGGAATAGGCTATTGTGACTTTTAGAAAGATGCCACCTAGTAGCAACTTAGAACTCCATAGCAAATGCATAGAAATACCCTAGCAACCACCCTAGCAAAGTGCCGGCATATACAAATGCAAGAACCACTCTCTTTGACTTTGCAGTTTTGAACCTAGCTTTGTCTAAGCTGGCACTGTAGAAATGACCAGAAGTAGGGATGTGCCCGAATCCGAATACCGTGTTTGGAAAGGAAATGAAGTGTACTGCGGAACCCGTAAAGAGAATAAATATGAGATGGGAGGAAAAAAAATATTTCAAAATTATGTCGTTGGGTAATTACGTATAATAAAAAAATAAAAAAAGTGAAACTTCAGCTGCATCATCTTAACTCGAAGGGAAAGAAACAAGGACAGAAAATTCATTGGAGGTTAGAAAAACAGCTTAGACATGCCAGTTTGCATTTAATCTGCAGTTTAAATCCATGTAACACCACTGGAGCATTGCCCTGTGGACGTCCCGCTGAAAACAGGACTTGACTCGCTTGTTTATTAAGTCAAGAATGACAGCGTCACGTTTCTAAATCCTCCTCGCAGGAGACGCTATTTCCTTAATACATGTGAATTAAACCACAGACGAGAGACAGAGGGAGCGAGGGAGGGGAAATGTGGCAATCTGATTATTATTCATCCCGTAATCGGAAGGCATCTCTGGCCAGCACTGCCAAATTAATGGGAAAATATGATCGACCAGTTCTGAAGCCACTGCTGGGTCCACATATACTCTTTGAAATTGGGTTTGAAAGAAAAAAAAAACGTGTGAAAAA